GCCTTTCCACATGACTGGCACTTCACATAGGGATACCCTTTGTTGGAGACAGTTTTGCACTTCTCATGCAACTCCTTGAATGGAATGGGTCTTCGAAAGGAATTCTGCCAATGCTCGACCACATCCTCCATGCCTGGTGCTGGCTCCTGGTTGTAGGGCAAATCGTCTGGATCTGTTTCATCAGAAGATCCTAGGTCAAGAACTTCACCATAGGCTTTCTCGTAGGCTTCCTTCAAGACGTTGTCCAACTTGCTGAGGACTTCAGGATCGGTTTTCAGCTTTTCAAGTCTGCTAACAAACTCATATCCTTCAGAGGAAATGCTCTCCTCAGAGGAAATCTCACACTTGTCATGGATCCATTGTGGGATCTCATCCTTGCTCATCTCTTTCATCCTCTCCTTATTGGCCTTCTTCCTTGCTTCATCTGCTCTACGTCTGTCAGACCTGTGATGTCCTCCTCTATGGCGCTTGGGTTCCAGCTTTCTTGCTTTGGGAGGTTCGGGAAGGTCTCCCATGTCATCCTTGTCCCACTTGTCAGGGTCGGCCTGTCCAAAGGTGGCCAACTCATAGCGCTTGAAGCTGGATGCTCTTTGTCCAGCAGTGGCTGCTCGATGACTGGCAGCTCTCTGCCTGTCCTTCTCCTTCTTCTTGGCAGCTCTTGGATGTACTCCAGCATCAAGGTCGGCTTGCATCCGACGAGAGGGTGCAGCCGGTGCTGAAGCAGCACGGCCTTCTGCCCTCACTTTGGCCATTGCCTCTTTGGCCTCTTTGTGATGCTGGGCTTCCTCTTTCTTCAACTTGTCCAGGGCTTCTTGGCGTTCCTTAAGAGCTTGATTTGCTTGACGCCCTTTGTCCTGAGCTTCTTTGACAGCGCTCTCAGCCTGAGCAATCATCTTGCCAAACAGCTCCTTGTTAGACCCAGAAGCTGATGCCAAAGCGCTCTGAGCCATGACGATAGCGCTCCTGGTCACAGTGCTCCTTGAAGGTGCTTGAAGGTTTGCTCGTCTTGGGCTTCGACCACGACGAGAAAATTCATCTCGAACTTCAGACTTGGGTGGCATAGTGTCTTCCAGGGCAAACAGCGCAGTGATCTCTGGTTCAGGTTGATCACCAGATGAGGCTGCAGGTTGTTGCTCTTGAGCCCAAGTGTCAGACTCAACATTAGCAACCTTAGGACCTTTGCCTTGATCCCCTTTTCCTTTACCTTTGTCTTGACCTTTCTTACCTTTGCCTTTGCTCTTGGAGTCATTGGTATTCTGTTTAGACCAAGACTGCTGATTCCAAGATTGATTGTTCCAAGACTGATTGTTCCAAGACTTGTTGTATGAATTGTTTGACCAAGACGAAGACTGACTCTTTCCTTTGTCTTTACCTTTGGACTTACCTTTGCCTTTCCCTTTATCATGTTTTCCTTTTCCCTTACCCTTAGCAAGGGAATCCACATCCATGGGAACAGCTCCTGACTTTGCTTCTTTCCTGGTCTCGACGTTCTCAAGGTAGGCCAAAACTTCAGCTTTCACCTGGTCATACGTGGTCAATCTCGAAGCCTGCAAGTCCAAATGATCTTGCAACTTGTTGGGACACATCTGCTGCAAGCAACTCCTGCAGATGTCATCTTCAAGTGGTTTCTTTCTCCTGTCTTCGTACTTTCTTTTCAAGTTCTCCCAACTCTCAAGCCCTTCTCGAAGCTTATCAAGACTGCATTGACTTGGATGCAGAACCTTTTTCAACAAGGCTGAATTGGCTTGAGGATTTTGAGGATCATATTTGCACAACAGTTGTCTCATGGCTTCTAGGCCAAAGTGGCTACCACGAGATGTGTTCTTGACAATTTCCAACGCTTCTCCCTCAGTCAATGATATGAGGGCTTGTCTAGCCTGAGCTGAAACTAGCTCGGCGCCTTCATCAAAGTCTACTTCTAGACTTGGCTCAGTGATCTCTTTGTCACACTGAGACTCGACTTGTGCCACAATCTTCACAGCATTCTTGTGGCAACTTTCAACCCATGTCTTAAACTTGTACCACCAACTATCCCAAGTGCCTGATGCTCCAGTGAACTTATCAGGTTTTGGTATGCCTTTCAACTCTGATCTGTCTTTGTATTCAACAGATCTCTCAACATTTCTGTTGATCTGAAGCTGCTGGTTCATAGCCTCGGTCATTGCCTGATTCAACTGCGCCTGACCCTGAGTCAATTGGGCCATCATCTGCATAACCATCTGGGACATGTTGGGACCATTGCCTTGTGCTTGTTGTGGTGCTGGTGGAGTGCCTGGTTGCTGAGGTGGCTGCTGTTGCTGAGCCATCCTTAGTCGTTCTTCAGGTGCTTTGAGACCTGATTCAAGAGAACCCTTGGGTACCTTTGGAGATGCACTCCAAGGTTATGGAAGTATCTTTGGATTTTCCTGATTTTCAGGAGCTTGAGTGTCAACCTTTTCCAGTTGGCACTGGGTAGGCGCGCCAGAGCTGATGCAGCTCGGCGTTGACACCTACACATTCACAGCTGGGTATCAGAACCTCAGCTCCGCTACCATGAACAGAGAATTTGGGCTCTTAAATCTGATGAACACTCCTGAGCACTGATCAGCACCTTTTCACTCAGTCAGCTCGAAGGTAGCTGAAAGCACTAAAATGGCTGCAGCACATATACAAACATATATGCTACATGTGACATAGTCTACACTGTACACATATCTGATCATCTATCTATAAATATAAATATATATATATATATATGTACATTATATTATATATATATATATCTGCATGTGTATTCCTGTGTGTGTTTCTTTTTTATTAATGTCTATGTTTATATCCCCCCATTAACGCCATGACTCGGCAGCCGTCCAGCCTTCTGCAAAGGCACCTTTCCGGACCAGTCCACGCGGCCCTGCAAGCGGCCCACCTCGCGGTCCGACGGGTCGTGTCCGAAGCAGAAGCCCCCCAGGTGCCAGTAGTGATCCGCTTCCAGGGCCACCTACCACCGTTACAAAGGCACAACTGGATGGACTTGGGAAATTTGAACTGACATGGGCCACCTTACTGGCACAGGAATGGGGATGGAGGAAAATAAAACTGCGATTGAGATGGACTACATACATACATACATATATGTATGTGTATATAATATATATATACGGACTTTCATTGAAATTATAATATGGTATGGGTATATATTTGTATACATGTATACATGGGGATAATGTGGCTATATCGAACAATTATACTTTGATATTGATATTGCCCAGATATGCAATGTGATGCAATGTGGATGAATATATGGCCTGTTGACTGCGTCCAGTGCCTTGACAACCTTCTTGCCGGTTCTTATCCCGAGAAAATGTTATACAACCCAATATGTCAAGCTATGTTAAGTTCACATACCTACAATACTAAAAACATCTAAACAGATAAAATTTGAGACTAGCTGGCTATTGCTATCAGTCATCCCAGGCCTCACCTCTATTAAAAGCATCAAAAAGAAAGTTACACCCTCTGGCAATCAAACATGGAATGGAAAATCAATCTGCCAGTTATAGATTCAGATGCTATAGGCTGCTATAGGTGATATAGATGATTTTCCCACTAAGACCTCCATTCATAGAGGATTGTCCAATTGCCACCTTTCACTGGAGGCGAAAAAACCACACCGGTTGCACCAGCGCCTCAGCTTCCAGTTGTGGCTTGCTGGCCGTGAACTCCGCCAGCACGGACCGTACCAAGAGCACCTGGCAGATCCGCCCTGGGCGTAGATGGGGCATCCTTGCCAGCCCCTACGAATTAGGGCTCAGCCGCAGGCTTCGAGCCAGATGCTGATGGGGAACATCGGAAACCCGACTGGAAACCCCAACTTCAATTCCGGAAGAAAATGTGTTTTCCAATCATGTCCCATGGAAAATATTTAGGGTTCCTGATGATTGCAAATGTTCAACTGAAGCAATTCTGAGACGGATGCAGCACCAAAATCGGGCAAAAGAATGTAGAAGTAAGCACAGAACGTGGGTATACCAGCACAAAATGTCGAATAAGATGGGGCTGAATAAAACTTTGGAGAATTTTGGATGAGCTTAATCAATTACATGTATATAATATACATATATATAGGCATTATATCCCCATGGGTATTTTTTTCTTGTCACCCAAGTTTGACTGCATCATCCGGTAGTATGCCAAGTTCAGGGTGAATGGAGCCGAGACTTGCCACATTCCAAGCCCAAATCATACTGGAATATTTTAAAATATACCCTCGAGTAAACTAACATATCGATATTATATTATGATATTACATAGATCTATTTATATATATATATAATAATAATCATTACTATTATATATATATATACATGTGTGTGTGCGTATGGAAAATCAATGAAAATCAACCATGTCTAGATGATTTTCTGACCGGGAAACCATACATTTTCCAACCCGGTTGGGTAGTGGATATGGCGTGGGAACATCCCTGCCCTCGCCGGGTCCTGCAAGGCCCCCATGCGGTACCTTGACAGCTGAAGTTGGAACGACTCAGCAGGGGTACCAAATGGATCCAAATGTTAATATCCATTTATCCTATATGTAATAGTATAACCAAATGTACCAAATTGATAATACCATAGTTATCCATATGTAACAACTATGGATCCAAATCTGCTTTGTGATTTTACTATACTTAATATCCATTAATATCCTAGTTATTTGTGTCGGGTATAGTTGCATAAAATGTTGCATGAAACATTTTTTTTAATCTGTTCAACCATCCCATTTCTAGCCAAAAATCTTGGAGCCATGCTGAAATATATCATACCTACCCCTCTTGAAAAATATGAGTTCGTCAATTGGGATCATCATCCCAACTATTGGGGAAAATCAAAGTCATGTTCCAAACCACCAACCAGTGTTGCCTCATTGAAAATGGTTATTTTCCATAGTTATGTTAGTTTACCAGAGGGTATCACATCTACAACGCTTTTCCAGCCTTAGCTTCTTTCCTCAGCCCCGGTGGCACCTCTGGTTCTCCAACTCGGCGTCTTTCACCTTCACCACCTCGCCCCCAAACGGCCCAAAAATGGCCCCGATATGGGCGAAATCACGTTTTAGGACCAGCCACTTGACATTAGATAAACCATGGATTCATGATGAGTTATGATGATTTATGATGATTAGATACTTCAATTGGATTTGATCGTATCCTAACATAAACACCATGTATTTATGATGATTTACTCATCCGGGCTTGACATGAAATAGTCAACACCGAATTTTGAAATCCCGATGGATGGGGAAATTTGCTCTACAACAGACTGCACCTGTTGTTGAATGGCCTACTTGATGCTTAAATCACCGTGTTTGATAATTACACATACTTTGATGCTAAACAATTCGGTTACCGTTGAGAAAAGTGTTAACTCAAAGTATAGTATATTGCTGGTCAAGTAACAATGGTTAATGATCTAAAATGGTTTGATTGTTAACTCGCAATGTTTATCCATTTTTTGGATATATGAAAAAACACGATGGGTAGTTATAACAGCTGCCTGATGGGTAAATCACACTTCCCAAGGATTTTCAACAAACTACCGAAGATGGTGAAAAATCACCCATATTTAAGTTGTTTAGATCATCTTAGTGTTCCACATATGTGATGATTAAACCATCATTTTTCAGTTTTTATTCTTTTGAGTTTAGAACCACCACTGTTCATCATTTGTTACATGGTGAATCTCAGTCAATCTCAATTTGTGATGCTTAAAACCCCATGTGATCCATGTGATCCATGTGTTTCTATTGTTTTCCATGATTGTTCCATGATTGTTCCATGGCTTTTCCACGGTTTTTATTTTATTTTTTTCATGGTTAAACCCCCAAACACCCGATTTTTCCGGCAAAATTACACCACCAAGGTCGTGACGGCGCAGCCGCGCACCTCATCATGCTCGCGCTTGGCAGCGTCCAAGGCCATCTCTGCAGTGAGTTGGGCTTCCTGTCAAGGCACGGTAAAAAATCACAATTTTTAATAGGTTCCATCAACGAACTAAATGGAAAGTGTTAGTTTACTGGAGGATAGCCATTTATATTCCAGTAAATTAACAGTTTGACCCTGCCAGATAGGGGTTGGAAGATTAGTTTCCATTAAAAATAGATTGTTTTCAGGGTCGAACTGTTAATTTACCAGAGGGTAATATGTGAGTCTTAATAACCATACGGTGGAAGGTTGCGAAATCCTGCACCAGTTGAAAACGGTGGTAAACATCCCATTATTTATAGGGTTTCAACCATCCTTTTGGTGGTGCAGGAATTCTATCATGTGAATGGTATGAATGATGGTATCTTATGGTATTACTGACATATGAATTCATAATCATAACATAATATCAATGGTTATGAATTATGGTATTTTGAAAAACCATATTCCATATTACTATAGTATATGACATTATGAATCATAAACAAAAATATGTTATCATTGCTACTTATTAGTATTATGATTAAAACTTGATAATAACCATGTGTTAATCATCAGCCTTCAAAATTCTCATATGTGATTATCATGATATGATCATGATAGTAAGTGAATAGTACTATTATATAGTAATATAGTGATTATCGTAATAGTGTGATTATGATAACATGTTATCATATCATAATATAAATTATTAATATATTGTTATATTATAGTTAATGTTAGTATTAAATTTAAATGAATTATCATAGTTATTCATCATAATGTCCATATTATTCATCGTATTATCATAGGTAACATATGGTAACATAACGTTCATGTTAGTAAAAAAAACATATGGATTATGTACTGCACATCAGTTTTATACTAACGTGAACATTCAAACGTATGACAAAAATGATATAAAGTATTATCTATAGTATATCTATAGTAATTGGGTCGTAAACAGTTCAGCTCCACATATTCACATTAAATATCAAAAACATTGAAATAATAGGTCTGAGAATGGGATATACCATCATACACCCCCAAAGTGACAAGTTTTTCTTGGCGGAAAATGATGAACAGCCATTGGGTTTTTCTCAATGTTCATGGTCAAATCGGGTTAAATCCATCTGTTTGATTGATAAAAGTTAAAAGATTCAAAAACCACACCATTTTTCATGGATTTCTTATGGTTAAACCATGTTAAACCAACATGTTTCATATCGAAACCACCATGCTTCATCATTTTTCCATGGTCAAAACGCCCCATGTTTCGCCGCGGACCGGAGTTACCCCACCTTGGCCGAGTCCAAATCTCGCAGCCCGTCGTTGCCGTCCGTCTTGCAACGGCCCAGCTTCTTTCCTCGGCCGGTTTTTGTGGAGGAAAATGCCAGGAATATGAATGATGGAATGACCATTAATGATAATGATAATATGGAATATATTAATGGTCATTCATATGCCAGGAATATGAATGGAATATAGCCTTTGGTAAATGATCAGTAATGATCATTATCATTTGTGATTAATGAATATTGATGATGGAATGATGACTGGTGATTAGTGGAATGATAAATACCCTCTGGTAAATTAACAGTTCAACCCTGAAAACGATCTATTTTTAGTGGAAACTAATCTTCCAACCCCTATCTGGCAGGGTCAAACTGTTAATTTACTAGAATATAAATGGCTACCCTCCAGTAAACTAACACTTTCATCCCCCTTGAAATTCGCCCCGAGACGATGAGAGCTCCATTCTGTAGGGTGCCCAGCCTATCCCCCTACAAAATGGTATGGGGACACCTACAAAATGGTAGCGCCCATGGAGGTTGCTGCCTACAAAATGGTGGCACCAGGGTACCCCACCTGCCCACCAACATCAAGTATTTTGGGCTAACATAGTGTCCAAAAAACTGTGAAAAATGGGAGAACCATTTTGTAAGACACAAAGCAACCCTGTGGTCGCACCCTAGTCTTTTTTGGGCGACCAATTTGTAGACAGTTTACCTTGAATGAAATTTCTTCTTAAAATCTCTCAAGCAATCCTTGCATATCTCACATTTTTGCATTTTGTGCATCTGGCAATCGGGTTTCATAAAGTATCGTCCAACAGAAGTAGTCAGATAGACTGGACCGAAGTAGTGGTCATCGCGTTTTTTTTCTGGACCGGGGCTGGTTTCAAAATTTTGGAGGCTTTGAAAACTTTGCGATCATCTCCACCACAAAATCCACATGGTCGGCAGACACACTTTCTAAGTAGGATCCCCATCGCCAAGCCTATTGCAAAGGCAGCCACCACAATCCCCTCCAACAAACCCATGTAGCTTGGCACTCGAGATTCTTACAAAATATGTCTTGAACCAGCATGAACCAGCTACAAAATGGTAGTGCCAGAGTATCCAATGATAACCATTGAGTGTGGTGGAATAATGTGATGTGCGACATCGCTTTTGCCTATTTTGTCTTCTCAGACGCGACGGCTAGTTTGTTCTGGATGGTTCTGGAGGGCCGTTGAAAGTCATAAAAAAAAACAAAAACATCTAGCTTTCCCAATTTTCACATTTTTTGGACATTATGTTAACCCAAAATACTTGAAGTTGATGGGCAGGTGGGAGACATACTTAGGCTTCCATAGGTTTCCTGCTTCATTCAGCACTGGTTCTCTGTTAACCAAAAGCGGTTGATATTTTTTTGTGTTGAAATATATTTACATTTGTGGATGTATTTATCAACTCCCCTTACCCATCTACAAAATGGTATTCCAAATCTACTACAAAATGGAGGTGCCTGACACTGGCATATGATCTTGTTCTCATATAAAGTGATGTGTATAAGCAGGTCTCTTTCTACAAAATGGAGTGCCCCGACGGCACAAAAAAAAAAACATAAAATCTGATTTATAGGGGGCCCAAGGCCTGCCATTTTAAATGGGAAATGTCAACCGGGATCATGCTTGTGGATGTGATGGCGCCCTTCCATTTTGTAGACAGATTGTTTGTTCTGGATGGTTCTGGAGGGCCCTTGAAAGTCATTTAAAAAAAACATCTAGCTTTCATCCCCCTTGAAATTCGCCCCGAGAGGTTGGGCCTACCAAAGTGTAGGGTGCCCAGCCTACCTCCCTACAAAATGGTATGGGGACACCTACAAAATGGTAGCGCCCATGGGGGTTGCTGCCTACAAAATGGTGGCACCAGGGTACCCCACCTGCCCACCAACATCAAGTATTTTGCGTTAACATAGTGTCCAAAAAACTGTGAAAAATGGGAGAACCATTTTGTAAGACACAAAGCAACCCTGTGGTCGCACCCTGGTCTAACCGCTTTTGGTTGGCTCAGCAGTGCCGGCCGCTGCCCCCAAGCCCTCGAACTAGCTGATTGTCAGTGGCCATGCTGCGCTTTCACATGGCGTTCCTGCTGATCGTGGGATTGGTTGGGGAAGGCGTCAAGGTGGCTGACGACACAGCCACACAGACGCCAGAGGAATGGCATCTTGTCTTCGAACGTGACTGATTGGGACAGTTGCCAGGAATAGGACAACTCCAAGAAAGACACTTCAAGAATTGGGCGCAGTAAAAAAAACAAGGAAACTTTTTTGTTTTTACCAATTCCATTTGGAGCTACAAAATGGTAGGCCATTTCCATTGGCAGCTACAAAATGGTGGGATACAGAAATAGTTAAGGTCTAGCACGTGGTACCGCTTCTGCACCCGGCAAGACAACCAGGACATCCAATCCAGAAGCGTCTCTTTGTGTTGTTCTGGTTTGAACCACCTTAGTAAAAGAACATTGGGTAACCCATTGCAAACTCTGGCCAGCTAGCCCATACCAGTCTACAAAATGGATGGTCCCCATTCATAGACTACATGGTCTAACTATTTCTGTATCCCACCATTTTGTAGCTGCCAATGGAAATGGCCTACCATTTTGTAGCTCCAAATGGAATTGGTAAAAACAAAAAAGTTTCCTTGTTTTTTTGAAAACTGCGCCCAATTCTTGAAGTGTCTTTCTTGGAGTTGTCCTATTCCTGGCAACTGTCCCAATCAGTCACGTTTGAAGACAAGATGCCATTCCTCTGGCGTCTGTGTGGCTGTGTCGTCAGCCACCTTGACGCCTTCCCCAACCAATCCCACGATCAGCAGGAACGCCATGTGAAAGCGCAGCATGGCCACTGACAATCAGCTAGTTCGAGGGCTTGGGGGAAGCGGCCGGCACTGCTGAGCCAACCAAAAGCGGTTGATATTTTTTTGTGTTCAAATATATTTACATTTGTGGATGTATTTATCAACTCCCCTTACCCATCTACAAAATGGTATTCCAAATCTTCTACAAAATGGAGGTGCCTGACACTGGCATATGATCTTGTTCTCATAAAAAGTCATGTTGGGTGTGTATAAGCAGGTCTCTTTCTACAAAATGGAGTGCCCCGACGGCACAAAAAAAAAACATAAAATCTGATTTATAGGGGGCCCAAGGCCTACCATTTTAAATGGGAAATGTCAACGGGGATCATGCTTGTGGATGTGATGGCGCCCTTCCATTTTGTAGACAGATTGTTTGTTCTGGATGGTTCTGGAGGGCCCTTGAAAGTCATTAAAAAAAAACATCTAGCTTTCATCCCCCTTGAAATTCGCCCCGAGAGGTTGGGCCTACCAAAGTGTAGGGTGCCCAGCCTACCTCCCTACAAAATGGTATGGAGACACCTACAAAATGGTAGCGCCCATGGGGGTTGCTGCCTACAAAATGGTGGCACCAGGGTACCCCACCTGCCCACCAACATCAAGTATTTTGGGTTAACATAGTGTCCAAAAAACTGTGAAAAATGGGAGAACCATTTTGTAAGACACAAAGCAACCCTGTGGTCGCACCCTGGTCTAACCGCTTTTGGTTGGCTCAGCAGTGCCGGCCGCTGCCCCCAAGCCCTCGAACTAGCTGATTGTCAGTGGCCATGCTGCGCTTTCACATGGCGTTCCTGCTGATCGTGGGATTGGTTGGGGAAGGCGTCAAGGTGGCTGACGACACAGCCACACAGACGCCAGAGGAATGGCATCTTGTCTTCGAACGCGACTGATTGGGACAGTTGCCAGGAATAGGACAACTCCAAGAAAGACACTTCAAGAATTGGGCGCAGTTTTCAAAAAAACAAGGAAACTTTTTTGTTTTTACCAATTCCATTTGGAGCTACAAAATGGTAGGCCATTTCCATTGGCAGCTACAAAATGGTGGGATACAGAAATAGTTAAGGTCTAGCACGTGGTACCGCTTCTGCACCCGGCAAGACAACCAGGACATCCAATCCAGAAGCGTCTCTTTGTGTTGTTCTGATTTGAACCACCTTAGTAAAAGAACATTGGGTAACCTGGCCAGCTAGCCCATACCAGTCTACAAAATGGATGGTCCCCATTCATAGACTACATTGTCTAACTATTTCTGTATCCCACCATTTTGTAGCTGCCAATGGAAATGGCCTACCATTTTGTAGCTCCAAATGGAATTGGTAAAAACAAAAAAGTTTCCTTGTTTTTTTGAAAACTGCGCCCAATTCTTGAAGTGTCTTTCTTGGAGTTGTCCTATTCCTGGCAACTGTCCCAATCAGTCGCGTTCGAAGACAAGATGCCATTCCTCTGGCGTCTGTGTGGCTGTGTCGTCAGCCACCTTGACGCCTTCCCCAACCAATCCCACGATCAGCAGGAACGCCATGTGAAAGCGCAGCATGGCCACTGACCCCTCAGCTAGTTCGAGGGCTTGGGGGAAGCGGCCGGCACTGCTGAGCCAACCAAAAGCGGTTGATATTTTTTTGTGTTCAAATATATTTACATTTGTGGATGTATTTATCAACTCCCCGTACCCATCTACAAAATGGTATTCCAAATCTTCTACAAAATGGAGGTGCCTGACACTGGCATATGATCTTGTTCTCATATAAAGTGATGTTGGGTGTGTACAAACAGGTCTCTTTCTACAAAATGGAGTGCCCCGACGGCACCAAAAAAACCATAAAAACTGATTTATAGGGGGCCCAAGGCCTACCATTCTAAATGGGAAATGTCAACGGGGATACACTTTCCATTTAGTTCGTTGATGGAACCTATAAAAAATGGTGATTTTCGAAACAGTTGGCCAGTTGGCCTATTAAAAATGGTGATTTTCTACCATTTCCAAGTAACTATGTTAGATATGTTTGTTTACCAGAGGGTAATATTGGGATAAATGGAGGTTTCATGGTAGTTTGGTAGGGTTTTATGCGGTTGAACAGGGATACAGTAATAATGGGATAATAATATGAAGCCGGAGGGTAGTGTTTGATCGTGAATAGATATCCTCTGAATTATTCCATTATGACGCCAGAATTACCATGTTAATCTATATGGCCTTTTTTACCAGACCATACCAAACTATACCTCATGAATCATACTTTTTCCCACATTATTATTATATAATATCATAGCATATGAATTATAATACACATATATAATAATGTGGGAAAACATATGAATCATAACATATCCCACATATTCCCACATTATTATAAATGAATCCCATGAATCCTCCTTAAACCTTCGTTCAGGATCCACCGAGTTTGTAGTACCTCTTACCTGAGATCCCGGCGAAGTCCGGAAAATTCTGATGGCTTCAACCGCTGAACCGCCATTCTTCCATTATTTATCTCTGGTGGGTTTAACCATCTTGAAAAATATGAAAGTCAATGGGAAGGATGACATCCCATATAATATGGAACATATTCCAAACCACCAACCAGCACATTAACAATCAACAACTTTCTAGTTGGTGGTTGACCTACCCCTCTGAAAAATATGAGTCATAGTCAGTTGGGATGATGACATTCCCAACATATGGGGGAAAAACATGTTCCAAACCACCAACCAGATCTGCTGATTATCTCATCAATTATCCCATGATCCCATTGAGATCCATTTTCCTCGATTCTTCCATGGATTTTTCCATGGATTTATCCAAAAAAAAACACCATAATGGATGATCCTTAAATTGATGGAAATTATATCCGGGATATCCCATTGAACCACCATAGAAATTCTCCCATAAATCGATTTATCCTCTGGTAATTTAACATATATCTATTGAAAATGGCCATAATAGTGGATTTACCCATTGAAAATGATGATTTTCCAGAGTTTTTGGTTAGTTTACCAGAGGGTATCCTTAAACCACCATTGAACCATATCCCACCACACCAAGATTCGCGCCAAGCTTCGCATCGTCACCTCCTCACGCCCTCCCTCCTCGGCCGCGACGCTGCGCAGGTCGCGTTCCAAGTGGGACACCTGCGGAACCGAACATAAGGGGGAGATCTGTGATAAAACAATAGTAAACCCCAGGGATAATGGGATAATGATCATTTATGATGGAAAAAATAACACCATTGTTCAGTATTTTTCATGCTGAAGCTGAAACCAACTTTTCTCGACTTTTTCAATTGTTGAACCATCATTTCTTAGGACCATTCTTAGGATTCCTTCGAAGATGATCTGAACATACCCCTCGAGCATACCCCAAATTGCTAAGTCCCTCCAAGACCCCAAGTCTGAAAGGAATCCTTTCACAAACCATTCTTAAATCGCAAGGGGTATGCTCCAGAGGTTTGTTCGAATTTTCCTGAGCAACCTATCGCCGTCTACTTACGTGACCTAGTGCACTTGATCCAACCACTTCGAAATCCAAATTCCTTGGATTTTCTGATGCCTTGAAGGAACCCCATCTGTTCCAAGTTTGTCAGTTCCACATTTCAAGCCCGGCCCCCATCCCTTGGTGCACCTGCTCCTTGAGCAGCAGCTTCTCGGATGCCAGGCGCGTTGCTTGGCCCTGCGACTTGCGAAGCTCATCTTCCAGGCCTTCGCTTCGCAGCGCAACCCGGCGCGCCGTAGCGGTCACCCGATGTCACCCGAAAGGACATCGATTTTTCCCATGGCTACCCTACAAGGTGGTGCCCCCCGCCAGTTATAAATTGGTTATAAGCCCATGAATAGATATATCACCAACAAAAACCATAGTTATTGGAGTTATGTTCACCAACTTAGCTATCGAACGGGGGCACCACCTTGTAGGGTATAAAGATGTGCAAAAACCCATGGGTTTCACCCCCGTTGGAAAATGATCTATTGAAATGCATTCGGTCTTTTTCGCAGTTTTCCACATCGAAAATATGGTGTGGAAACACTGCGGGTACCCAGCTGAAAAACCAAGGTGGTGCTGAAGCTTGAGTGACTTGGATTGTCTTGATGTGGTAAGTGAAAATCACAGGGGATCACAGATCACCTTGGTGAATCGTTTCTTTTTGGTGGATTCACCAACGGGCAACAAACAAATCGGCGAGGTGTCTGATTTGGATTTTTTGGTTATTGTTCGGAAAAAATAAATATGTATTTACACCCTGGGTACCCCACTAAACCTGAAATAGGGCTATATTGGGGGGGTCAAACATCGCAATCGTTTTGTCACCGTGCCCATTCAAAACACTGGTAAAATATGGTGAAACATGGTGTAGTGGTGGAACCAATGACTTCCTCCGAAGGGTTAAAATCATTATTAAAACATGGTGAAATAAGGTAAATTCATGGTAAAATCATGGTGAACTATGGCAACATATGATAAAAATCATCCATGAACACACAAAGTCTGCCACCTGCGACGTGTTCTTCAACCTCTTGCAGCTCCTTCTGCGAGGCCGACGGCCCCAGAATGTCAAGGTACAGCAGGGTCTCAATGTAAAGCCAACACATGACAAAAAACATCCACTTGTTGGTTCATTCAAATCCCATGAAAATGGAAGTAAAATCCTCATCACTATCAACCAATCAATATGTATGAAATTATAACAAATGCCATACTATGCGTCATGGTCAAAAACTGGGGTCATACCATCATGAATGGAAATCCTTACAATTCGATACAATGGGTGTGAGTTACTAGGTCACTATGAAACTAACCATTCCACACTTTCGATTTTTCGTAGTTCAGCTCTAGCCCCTGTTTTCAGAGCTGCAAGTATTCCATCTTTTCGGGGGCAGGTTCACGACAGTCCTGGATCATTTGGTCCCAAGGTCGCGAACATCATCATATTGCATCATATTTCGAGAATTTTCTGTAGCCATTATAGCTCTCCTATACATTATATATTGGTTGAAATTTACAGTAGTTAAAAACCATTGATTCATCAAATCAAATCCTTGGCCTACCAGCATCATAAACAGCCTATCTTGCCCTCCTGCTCCAATTCCTGCACTCGTCGATTGGCCTGGCTGATCTCATAAAGCCAGGATAGGGATGGTTTGTTGATCTACTTAAGGTCGTTTGAACCCATCAAAACCCCTCCCAAGAATATTTTTTGAAATAAAACCTATATCAACCAATCAAGTCGGTGTCTGGGCTGAAAAACAACACCTAAGAGATAACCCCACCAGTATGATACTTCTTGAATGGAAAAAGAAAGAACGATAGATAGACAGGTAGGTAGATAGATAGACAAATTAGACAGATTAGATAGATTAGATAGATTAGATAGATTAGATAGATTAGATTGATTAGATTGATTAGATTGATAGATTAGATAGATCAGATAGATCAGATAGATCAGATAGATTAGATAGATTAGATAGATTAGATGGATTAGATGGATTAGATCGATAGATAGATAGATAGATACCGACGGACAGACAGACAGCATAGATAGACAGACAGACAAACAGACAGACAAATAGATAGAAGGTAGATAGGTTAGACAGACAGACAGATAGACAGACAGACAGAGACAGAGACGGAGACAGAGACAGACAGACCGACCGACGGACAGACAGACAGCATAGATAGACAGACAGACAAACAGACAGACAAATAGATAGAAGGTAGATAGGTTAGACAGACAGACAGATAGACAGACAGAGACAGAGACGGAGACAGAGACAGACAGACCGACCGACGGACAGACAGACAGCATAGATAGACAGACAGACAAACAGACAGACAAATAGATAGAAGGTAGATAGGTTAGACAGACAGACAGATAGACAGACAGACAGAGACAGATAGGAGACAGAGACTACAAGAACCCCGACCGACGGGACAGACAGACAGCAAGATAGACAAACAACAAACAAACAGACAAATGATAGAAGGTAGATATGTTAGACAGACAACATATAGACATCCGACAGAGACCAAGAGACGTAGACAGAGACAGACAAATGACCGACCGACTGACAGACAGAACGCATAGATAGACAACAGACACAACAGACAACAATAGATAGAAGGTAGATAGGTTTTAACGACAGACATACAAGCGAGACAGACAGACAGATAGACAGACAGACAGAGACGGAGACAGAGACAGACAGACCGACCGACGGACAGACAGACAGCATAGATAGACAGACAGACAAACAGACAGACAAATAGATAGAAGGTAGATAGGTTAGACAGACAGACAGACAGAGACAGAGACGGAGACAGAGACAGACAGACCGACCGACGGACAGACAGACAGCATAGATAGACAGACAGACAAACAGACAGACAAATAGAGAGAATGTAGATAGGTTAGACAGACATGGGACAGATAGAACGACAGACGCAAGACGGAGACAAGACAGACTACCTAACCGACGGACATACAGACAGCATAGATAGACCAGGACAGCAAACAGACGACAAATAGATAGAAGGTAGATAGGTTAGACAGACAGAAAGATAGACAGACAGACAGAGACAGAGACGGAGACAGAGACAGACAGACCGACCGACGGACAGACAGACAGCATAGATAGACAAACAGACAAACAAACAGACAAATAGATAGAAGGTAGATAGGTTAGACAGACAGACAGATAGACAGACAGACAGAGACAGAGACGGAGACAGAGACAGACAGACCGACCGACGGACAGACAGACAGCATAGATAGACAGACAGACAAACAGACAGACAAATAGATAGAAGGAAGATAGGTTAGGACTCAGACAGATGACAACATACAGGACAGAGACGGAGACAAGAGACAGACAGACCCGACCGACGACCAGACAGACAGCATAGATAGACAGACGAACAAACATACAGACAAATATATAGAAGTAGACAGATAGACAGACAGACAGAGACAGAGACGGAGACAGAGACAGACAGACCGACCGACGGACAGACAGACAGCATAGATAGACAGACAGACAAACAGACAGACAAATAGATAGAAGGTAGATAGGTTAGACAGACAGACAGATAGACAGACAGACAGAGACAGAGACAGACAGACCGACCGACGGACAGACAGACAGCATAGATAGACAGACAGACAGACAGACAGACAAATAGATAGAAGGTAGATAGGTTAGACAGACAGACAGATAGACAGACAGACAGACAGAGACGGAGACAGAGACAGACAGACCGACCGACGGACAGACAGACAGCATAGATAGACAGACAGACAAACAGACAGACAAATAGATAGATACAAAACAAGTCGGGAACACAGTGGCTGTGTCAGTGGTCTTTTGTTCGACATCCTGGATCCTGGTTGGGGTTTCCCTGGGGACCACGTGTTGAAAGTGCCCTGCAAATCTTCTTCAAAAATCAAGATCTGCAACACGAAGACATTTCTGGCAAGGAGAACAAGGAGAAGGCTGCGCAACTGGGACTTGAGGCAGTGTTGATTGAGAAAATCGATAAACCAACAATTTATCCAGCCCAAAACTGCTGATTGTTGCTGATATGCCAAATCCACAAATCCAATGTTTGGATGTTTTTTTAAAGGATTTTTTTATGTCCTGTCTGATTTATTTTTTGTTTTGCACGGTTTTATCATCATAAAACAAAACATGTTTCTCATAATAGTGGCAAATTGCGGGGTGTGTTGGATTGTCCCTCCCAATTATTCCATGTTTTGCATGTCTTCCAAATTATCTAAAAAATGTTGTCTAAAAATAGATTTCTAGGATGTAAAACAACAAATTCTGGGGTTTCGTCTGTATTTCTTAATGGTTCTATTTCCAAGATGTGTTTCTTTACTAATTAAAATAGATCGTCTTGTCCCATTCTCAAAGTATCCATTCTTGCGGTTCAAACCCCAATGTTGTTCCATTTCTTCCGGTAAATATTGCTATTTCTAGGGTTTCAAAAATAAGGGATCCCCAAGTCACCATGGTTGTTTTACTGAAATGCTTTCATGACTGGGATGATTTGGGGGCTATCCCCCTCCCCTTCCTACGTCGAGGCACTTGCTCCGCCAGGCGCGTCTGCCGCTCCGCCGCAGCACGGGCATCCGATAAAGCGGCCGCCAGGGACTGGTGATGGTGGGCCGAGGTTGAGCCGAGGTGGTTTGGAAGGGTCAACATAGAAACAATAAAGGTAGATGTATCAAACTTGTATAAGCCATCGTAAGTAAGTTTGTTATATCTACCAATAGTAACTGATAGATCATACTTCCTTTAAAAGTTTTGTCGTTTTTTAGGGTACCCTCGGGTTATTTTACGGTTTGCGAACTGGAAAATTGGGTAATTTGCAGTGGCGATATATGATAATGTCAAATAACCAAAGGGTAACTAGTTTCACATTATGTGCAAAATACCAGTAGTACCGCGCAAGCGGCGGCGGAAGTTTCTAAGATGGGAAACTATAGGAGAGGCGCGCTGTTGTGATGCATGGATGGCAGAGCGAACCCACTATTGAACCGAAAGGTGGTCGAGTCTCTGAGTCTCTCTGTCTCTGTCTGTATCTCTCTGTCTCCTTCTCCTGGTGTCGCTCTATCTCTCTCTCTTTCCTTTTTCCGTCTCTCTCTCCCTCTCTCTCCCTCTCTCTCCCTCTCTCTCCCTCTCTCTCTCTCTTTCTGTCTATCTCCCTATCTCCCCTATCTGTCTATCTGTCTCTCTGTCTGTCTGCCTCTCTGTCTGTATGTCTACCTGTCTATCTGTCTAAGATTAGTTTGCTGCTATTCGTTGCACCACATTGTCATGCATTGATGTGGGTATTTCACAAAATTGCGGTGTTCCACGCTGAGGCCGAACATCGGCCTAAAGAGTTGAGATTTGTTGCAACCCACCTATTTCACTAGGAACATTAAATTTAGATCTGTCCAACTTTCCAACGTCAATCCATCTATCTACCTTCTCTATCTATCTATCTATCTATCTATCTATCTATCTATCTATCTATCTATCTATCTATCTATCTATCTATCTATCTATCTATCTATCTATCTATCTGTCTCTCTGCCTATCTGTCTATCTATCTGTCTTCTGTCTATCTGTCTATCTGTCTATCTGTCTACCTGTCTCCCTGTCTCGATCTGTCAGTCTATCTATCTGTCCGCCTGTCTACCTATCTGCCTAACTATTTATCTTTCTGTCAGTCTATCTATCTGTCTGTCTACCTATTGTCTTTCTTTCCATCTATCTATCTGTCTATCTTTATATTTTTCGACAGCTCAGCTTCTAAGAGTGCTCCGGCATTGAGGTGTTTTGACCATTTTTACTTTGCAATGTGCTCGGGCGTGTACTTTTTGGACGTCGCAACTGTCAAAAGTGGCCCAAGACCCTCAGTTTCTAAGCATCTTGACTTCGAAATGTGCTTCGACCCATTGCCACGTGCACTTTTTGAGCATCTCAACTTCCAAAAGTGCTCCGAGAATGGTGCTTTGTACATTTTGACTTCAACATTTGCTTGGTGCCGCAGCGGCGTGCCTTTTTCGACATCTCACCTTCCAAAATTTTCCGAGGCTGAAGTGTTTTGACCGTTTTTACTTCCAGGTCTGCTTCAAGCATCTGCACGCCACAATGGCGTGCAATTTTTGATCTCTCATCTGACCAGCTGTCTCCGCACCCGCACCTTTAGAGAGCCTACTTTTGGAGCCTCCAGAGCCACAAAACATCGAACAAACACAATGTCTCGCGACTTTTCTGCCTTGTCGCGCACCTCTATCTTCTTTCTACTACTACTCACTCTTTCTTCTGACTGTTGTTTTTTTGTGATTGCTATCGCCACTGTTGCTGCATCTGTCCATAAGTTGGAAGTTTGACTTCTAAACTTCCTTCGACCATAGTTGCCTTAGTTACAAACCCATATACCCTCCCAGTTAAAATAGACCCTTCCAAACAGGAGGTTGGCAGATGAGTTTCCACCAAAAATTGACAATTTTCAAGGTCGGACTGTTAATTTACTATATGTACTGGATGGTAAACTTCCAAAAATGGGAATAGCTGATTGCTCCATGGATTGGTTTAAGATGCTTATAGATGCTTAAACCATCAAAAATGCGGGGTTGACTAAACAAAAACACTTTTTGGCAGGTCTTTGAAAGACATAGACAAATCTGGAATGTATGGAAATGCATGGAATCTCCCACGAGGTCCAAAGGGTTGGGTAATAAAATGTATTAGTTTGATTTTGATGGCTTATCTACAAGTGCAAGTGGCAAAGTCATGATTTTCACCAGCAAAAATACAGGTTTAGCAAGGTTTAACTACCAAAAAATTGTAATATGTGATTGTTCAGCGGATCGGACTAAGAGAAATCTATAGAAAATCAATGAACACCATGTGCTTTTGTTTTGACATTGTTCGACCATCAATTGTATAGCGGATTCTGGCTTAGATTCTCCCTTGACCAATTCAGGAACATATCAGCGAAGCATATATGGAATATACAAATACAAAATATCCCCAGCTAGATTAATGACTAGTGGGTTGTGTAATAACCGCCTCCATCTCATGGATTTGAGATCCCCTCCTTTGGAAAGGCATGGTACGCCCTTGAACGACTCGGCGCCGCAAGAATGATAAGTAGCATCCCATTCGTCATGAAAGATAATCTTACTTTGCAATTTATGTAAAAGTGTTTGAGCATGTCAGGGTCCACTTCAAAACATGTCCCTTCGGAAATTCAAATGACGCTTCAAAAATTAACCACATCATAGCTAGCACGAGCAAAACCATTTATATATAGATATATACTTCGATGACTTCCCCAGCGAGAAAATTCCGATAAGGGATTTCCCAGATTGCCATGTTTGATGACACCGAAGGAGATCCACCAACGGGGACTGGTAGGTCCCACCTCGGTGTCCTCCTCTTCAAGATCCATTCCATCGCGATCCGATGTGCCGATCACGGGAAAGTCACAGGCCCGGCCAGGGAAAGACATGGATATGGCTGGGGATTCATGGCCAATCATGCTGGGATTGGTGAAATTTATGGGCATACTCATGGTAATCCAAAGATTTAACTGCGGATTTGCTGGGGGTATAAACCAAGATTCGTACAAGGTGGCGCCACCTCTTAAGTGATCTTAGTTGCTTAGTTACCCTTATGAAGTTTAATTTATCTACCATACACCCAACAATCACTGGAGTTATGTTATAAGCTGCCAGTGACCTGGGGCACCACATTCTGGAGGATGCGGGTAGGTTGACCGTCTTGGGTGGAGCCATATCACGGCATCGCGAACATGACAGCGGCAACGGAACTGATGGGTGGTTTCACATGTTCTTCTACCTGGGATGATGATCCCGGTATCGCCTGGCGATGCCAAACTCCAACAACTGTCAGGAAGTTTTCTCGTTTTTGTTTGAAGCTGATTGAACAAAACCGCGTTTTGTAGAAGGCAATGTCATAAACCATCCATAGACCATCCATATAACTGATGGATGGAATCCCGTAAGATCCCATAGTCGAGTCTAGCCTTTCTCGATCTGCGTCTTTTATGGATGGATCCTATTGACCAACGAGCTGCACCTCTGGGGGCTCCTTCAGGGTCGGAGCTTGGTCACTGACCTTCGTCTCCAACTTCACCTTGGGCGCCCTCCAGGAGCCCTGGGAGCCATGAAAAGCGACATTCCATGACATTCCCCCTGAAAAAGTTGACATGGCCTAGTAACACTATATAGAATGATAGGGAATTACTATTTACTATATGAATTAATACAAAATGTTCCTAAAACAGAAGGTCTATGGAAATCTACTAGTACAAAAACGTTGGTCAAACTGGTGCACTCGAGCACCTCCACGACTCTATCTGGTTCCTGGTTTGACACTACTGGGAGCTCCACCAACTTCTTTTCATGGCACACGGCAAGCAACTCAGGCCTTGGAACGCGTCGCGGCAACTGTTTTTGTGAACAGCACTAAGTTATGGGTTCCCCATAGTGTTCCCCAAATGGTGAATTTATGTGAATTTACTGATAACAAAAAGACACTATTTCACGATTCTCAAGACTGTTCTGCAACGGATCCACTGAGTGATCCAAGGAGAGCAACACAATTCCATCGTCACATTCAGCAAAATCTAAGAACATTAGGTTCATCTAAAAAGATCTAAAAAGTGGATATGTTACCAGTGATCTATCATTTAACCACGGTATTTAAATGTATTTATCATTGGGACCATGTCATTGGTTAAAACCAGGGGCCTGTGACTGCAACTCTCGGTCTGGATTCCGCAACTGATGGATAATTCAGAATCTGGATGGTAAAAGTTTTACAAAGCCATGGTTTTCTGACCAATTTCCATCAAATGGTCATCCCCGTCCACTCCAAACACATGAAAATTGCGGAAATATCATGCTATAGCCTGCGATGGGTTGGCACACAGTAAATGCTGGATTTTGCAGGTACCACTATATAATACATGTTCAAACAATAAAGTCCATGCAAGGCAATGCCCAAGTTGGCTCGCGAAGTTTGTAAACATCGAAGCTACAGTTCACATCATGTCACTGGTTCATGGGGGTATCATAAACATTCATAAACCAACACACATTACGTTTGCGGGCACCACCTTGTACTATTATATACTATTATTGGTAGATCTCTACCAGCAAAATCCCAGCAAACTCCCAAGCACTGAATTCCCACCATTGTCATCCCCACTATTCAGATTTCGTCCCATCATAATTGTTTGAATCCGACTATGATTGGTTTATATCCCCACCACATCCCCCTTAATCATTGTAACGAAATTGTTTGAGTACCTAATATCTATAGTGACGAACAATTACTTGGAACGTATTTTGGAAAAAAAAGGTTTGTTCATTAGAGCTGGAAGGATATTCCAAGTGTTACTTTTGGAAAACAAGTGCTCTAAGTAAATTGTCCGTCGCTATAATAAAGTGGAATATACCGTCGCTATGCTACATTGGTCAATATCCTCCGTAATCCCCACCGCAAGTCATCATATCGAACTAGTTACTGGGTTATATAAAGCAATTTACTTCTAACTTATCCTCATTCATCTAAAAAGATCTAAAAAGTGGATATGTTACCAGTGATCTATCATTTAACCACAAAAATTTATCATTGGGTAAGTTGGATCAAAAAAATGGCTAAAAGGTGTTTAAAAAATACCATGGCTCATGGATTTCGATCATTTTCCCATGGTATTTCTCGCGCCCGGACGCATGAGGTGCCCAATCGAAGTAGAGGGGTGCGGCCTCGTCAGCCGGTCACCCGGCGATCATTGGATCATCCCATGGCTGGTAAACCCATAGAAATAGTGGATTTACCCATGAAAAATGGTGGATTTTCCCATTAAAAATGGTGATTTTCCCATTAAACATGGTGAAATACTGGATTTACCCATTGAAAATGGTGGATCTTTCCATAGTTACATGAGTTTACCAGAGGGTAAATTATAAGAATTCACTCACCTGAAAAGTTCGGCTATGTTGGAGATGATTCCCCACAAGCTAACCATGATTAGAGTGAGGGAGAACAGGGTTCGGTCGTTATAATTTACCCGGATAGATGTATCCCAATAGATATATCATATATGTATCTGCTTGGATGATACTATTGGGATATATAATCATCAACGTGGCAAAAGCAACGATAAAGCATGATAAACCATGCAAATGCTTGGGGAAACATCATCTATATTCATCTATGACATCCTGGCAAAAGACCCTCTGGTAAACTAACATAGCTATGGAAAATCACCATCTTTAATAGGTAAATCAACGAACTAAATGGGCCATTTTCAATAGCTATGTTAAATTACCAGAGGGTAACTGGATACGAAATATAGTTGTTTTCTATGGCGGTGTTCCTCATGAGACCGACATAGAATGACATAGGAAGAGGGATTTCCATTTGCGATGTGAATGAGTACCGGAGCGTAACTATGACAAATGCATGAAAAGGGTGATCTTCGATGTTTCAATGGGTTCTATAGTAGATAAATGATGGGGATGTTAGGAGTTACTGCATTCTGTTATCTTAATTGGATTGGTTTCCTTGGGAAACATGGTTTTTCTTTCGTGAAAATCTGTTCAAGTCAATGGATTGGTGAAGGGGAACTTTACCCTCTGGTAAACGTTTACATAACTATGGAAAGATCCACCATTTTCAATGGGTAAATCCAGTATTTCAATGGCCATTTTCAATAGCAAACTGTTAGTTTACCAGAGGGTAACCACCGTTATTCGGAAAAACTATGATAAGCTATGCTATTTTGACATAACCAGAGGGTATCCCTTGATGTTTCACCAATGGTTTTTCCTCGCCAGGTGAAGGATCCACCTCACCATATCGCGAGCTCAGAAAAAAGGCACGGATGCACGGGCGGTTATGATCAACCTCTGGTTTGTGTTCACTTAGTAGGGCCTTGACATGACATGACATGACATGACATAATTTTAATATATGTTAATATCATATCATGATGGTCATGATGTTTAATGATCTTAATCCTAATCCCATTTATTCATCATCATAACAGTATATTTATATAACTCTCAGACATTGGTAGTTTGATGCCAATCTCTATCCACATGATATCCTCACAACATATCCCATGATACCACCATTTTGGTCATTTACTGTCACTTAAATGCCATTCTTATCCTCTGGACAACGGAGTGAATGATTAACCCCATGTGTGAAAGATTGATCCCAAAATGGATTCATCACATGTTTGTTAACCATTTAACCCCTTACTTAGTCCCAGAATGTGTGTCACTTCCTATCACTTAAATCGTCATATGGGATTAAGCTTGGGATGTCTTTGTTGATTTAAATAATGCCAAACTCTGAATAATACCAATCCATAATCTGAATAACAGTGTATTACCGATAGTCATCGTATTTATGTTGATCATAAATGATAATAATGGGCTAATAAATATTGACGTAATGTGGGTAAAACAATCATAAACCACCCATTTGGGAATTAACATAGACCACCTAGTTATGGTGAGGACTGGGGGAGGTTTAGTATTGTTTTACCCACATCTGGTTGGTGGTTTTAACCATCTTGAAAAATACTAGTCAATGGGAAGGATGACATCCCATATGTTATGGAAAATAAAAGCCATGTTCCAAACCACCAACCAGATCATATATCTCCATTTTACCAACATGTTTGCTTAGGGTTCAATCCCCATGTTTGATGCTTCAGGATGGACTCACCACTGACATTGACCATCAACAATTTTCAACATATCGTACCATTGATCTTGATGTCAACCCACCAGGCACTCGTTGAAATCGCCGAGGACTGGTCCGTGCCCAAACAGCTCAAACGAGCTGTGGCCTGATTCTGAGCTGGTGACCAGCCTGGTCCAAACGTATGGGGATTAATCATCAACACAAACATCAATTTTAATAGGATTTCATTGGATTTAATGGGATGTTAATCAAATTCAATTTGATTTTAATTGGATTTAGTAAGATTTTAATGGGACTTTAACGGAGTTTCATGGGATAGAATTGGATTTTAATGGTATTTTAATTGGACTTTAATGGAATTTCAATTGGATTTCATGGGTGGTTTAATGAAATCTCATTGGATTTTAATAGGATATGATGGGATTTAATGGGATTTTAATTGGATTTCATAGGTTTTAATAGGATTTAATTGAGCGGTGGCGAAAACCCCTATGTCATTCTCTTCTAATCCTACTTGTCTTCCGCGCAGTCTTCCGCGACCACAGGTTTCAGCTTCCGCGGATGATTGGTAAGTTGATTCTGCTTCCAATTATTGGATTTGATTGTACTTTATTGGGATTTAATTGGATCATAATGGTATTTTAATGGTAGTTTAATTGTATCTTAATGGGAATTCTTTGGATTTTACTGGGATTTAATATATATATATATATAATGGGATTTAATTAATTGGATTTTAATCGGATTAATTGGATTTGAATGAGATTTCATGGGATTTCAATGGGATTTTAGTTGGAATTCTTTGGGTCTGAATGGGATTTATACAATTGGATTTTATGTGATTTTAATGGCGGTTTAATTGGGTTTCATGGGACTTAGTGGGATTTTAATGGGATAATGGGATTCTAATGGGGGTTAGAAGGATTTAGTAAGATTTTAATGTGATTTAATATGAAATTTAATGGGAGCTCATGGGTTTTCATAGGGATTTAATGTGATTTCATAGGGATTTGCTACGTATTTCAATGGGAATTTCCTGGGATTTGCTACGTATTCCATGGTCATCCTACCCACCTTGGGGCACGAAAGCAGTAGCGGCGATAAGTCTGCGATCAGCAACACCTGCGCACCACGCAGGGGACGAGGTGCGGGACGGGTTGCCATTGGTTTTGGGGAATGTTGCCTAATCACTAACCATTTATGGGAATATGTGTTGCATGGAAAGCTATAGAAAACCATAGGAAAACCATAGGAAAATGGAGAAAAATTGTGATTTATAATGGGATTTAATGTGATTTAATGGGATATATTATATGATGGTTTACCCTCTGGTAAACTAACATAACTATGGAAAGATCCATCATTTTGAATGGGTAAATCAACTATTTCTATGGTCATTTTCAATAGCAAACTGTTAGTTTACCAGAGGGTAACCACCGTTATTCGGAAAAAAAAAACTATGATAAGCTATGCTAAACAACAATCATACTAATGTGGGTGACTAATAGTGATTAATGGTGACTAATAGTGATTAATGGTCAATGATGACTAATTGGGATTATATATACCCTCTGGTGAACGTTTACATAACGACTAACATAACTATGGAAAAATCCACCATTGTTAATGGGCAAATCAAGGAACTAAATGGGCCATTTTCAATAGCAAACTGTTAGTTTTCCAGAGGCATCGAATATCATATCGGCCCTCAAAGGGCAAGTTTAACACATACGGAAATGCAAAGTTTCACTGGGAAGGTCTGGGATTTAATGATCCCTTCCTCCTCTTTATTCGGAATCATCCATGGACACTTCAGAGAAGATCTCTATTTTGGTGCTGTAACCTGGTGGGCCTGTCTATCCAGATGCAACGGAGGCATCAAAACCAAATACTACTGGAAAGAGACACAACAATAGCCCCAACCATAAAAAAATAATTATAATATTTTCTCGCATCGGATCATTCGTATGTTTTGGAATGATTATGAACTATTCATGTTGCACAAACCCATCCCCCATTCACAGTAAACACCCCCATTCTGTGGTCCCAAATATGTGGTTTCATCCCCTACATCCACCGGAGATTGGGATGACTGCTGATAATCTTCAAGGTTGCTCCCAACACCCCATAAACCACCATGAATCCCCACTTTTGAGAAGAATCCTCATCATGGGCCATCATTATCCCCATTATTCACAATTCAAACACCATAAAAATCACATTCCATCCCCCAGACAAACAATTAATAAAATCAAATCATATTAAACCCCACAAAAACATACAAAAACCACATTAGTATACATTAGTCTTACATAAATCCCATGAAAGCCACCATTTTCCCATGGATTTTTCAGAAAGTCAGCCCCTCCTGCTGCCGCTTGACGCTCCCCAGCACAGCCAAGCGAGTACCACATGGGCTTGGACACCTGGGGCACCCAGTGATCTTTGCTATGTAAAGCCCCATTCAGTAGAGTTACCCTCTGGTAATGACTAACATAGCACTGGAAAATGGCCCATTTATAGATGGTTTACCTATCAAAAATTGTGATTTTTTTTAGCTATGTTAAATAACCAAATGGTATATCAGATGATACTCTCCATAAACCATAGAATTCACCAAAGTTATGTGAAGTGACGTGCGTCAACTTAGCCTTTTTGGGGCCTCGCCCTGTATTTTAACGATTTCACCCCAATCAAAATGGTGGATTTCATGATCCAAAATGGCGATGAAAAACCATGTTGGATGTTATGGATGGCATCATTTCACTGCTTGGTGGTTGAGCCTACCCCTCTGAAAAATCATGGAGTTCGTCAGTTGGGATGTTTATTCCCAATATATGGAAAAGTAAAAGTCATGTTCCAAAGCACCAAGCAGTTTCAGGTTACCCTCTGGTAAACTCACAGTTTGCTATTGAAAATGGCTATAGAAATAGTGGATTTTCCCATTAAAAATGGTGGATCTTTCCATAGCAAAATGGTGAATTCCATGAAACACATCTTTTCCTGCGCCTCTTCAGACTTCAAAGCTCCGAACGCTGGTGAAGCTCAGCCGGCAGCGGTTAAGTTGACGGCAGATGCCGCCAAGCCGCGGCCGACAGGCTTGAAAATGAGAAAACTATAGGCACAGTGGCAAAATATCCTGCATTCCTGTGCGTTGAAGCTGATTTTAGAATATTTTAGATGATCAAAATGATGATTTGGTCCAAGTATAGACATAACAGTAGACTTTCAACAACCTTGAGTTGGGTAAAAAAACGATAAATTCGAAAGAAGTGATGACAGGCAGGATTTTGGCCTTCAGAAGATCAAGCGACAAAGGAAAGTCGCTTAGCCCCACTCATTGATGCCGCGAGCATCGTCGCCCAACATGCCGCCGAAGCGGGGGTCGTTGCCAGTCAGCTGCGCAAAGAAGATGATGCTGCCGATGGTGAGGGCAATGACTACTGGAAAGTAGATTCCAGCTGGCAGCAGTTCTCCTTCTTCATCAGTCCTGATCCTGGTCTGAGGCTCAACAGACCACATGTTTCCACGTCTGTCCTGATCCACAGACTGTCCAACGCGGGCCTGACGGTTCATGAGACCCATGTCGGGCTTGGGCATCTTGAAATCGGTTTCCTTCTCGGTCTTCTCCTCAGTTTCAGTTCCGGGCTGTGGCAAGGCCCTCAATGCCTGGGTTCTCCTTGAAGTCGATGGTGATGAGACGAAGCTCTGCATCAGCGTCGATGCAAGCAAGGTGCATGCCCCGATCGCCAGCACATAGGCGAAGAGCCCGCGAGAGCGCCCACTCGCCATTCTGAGTTGCAGGCTTGAGGGCGAAGATATTTGGACTGAAAAATGGCAGCACATGTAGAAGTTTCCGCAAGCACCTGCCCATCCCTGCCATCAAGAACAATATGGTGCTGGTGGGCATTGAGCCCCGGGCGCACCAAAACGACTTTCTCTGCCAGGCTTGCTCCCAACCACCCAGGTACACGGGGTAGATTTGGTAAATATAAATTAAAGGACAAATAATTCATGATTTCCAGCTGTTTCTGGCTATCATGTACCCACAGAACTGAGTTTGTGCGCGAACGACTCTTTGCAATGATCGACTCTGTGACTGCAACATACTGCAACGCTCCTACTGTAGCTGCTGGGGACAGATGCAAAAACTCTCCAGGTTTTTCTGTTTCCGCGGAGAGACTCTCCAAATGCCGTGCTATGATTGAGCAGCTATCTAGCCACTGAAAAGGGAACCGCTCGCTGAGAGGGAGAAGTGATCCTGTATAGAACAGACAATTGTTCTGAAGTTCCTTTACATTTTTGCCTGGTTAGCTTGTGTCAACCTATTCGTACTAGTGAAGTACACATAGTACACAACTAGAAGTGCAGAAGCAACAAAATCTACAAAGAATCCAAATCACCTCAACGTATTGGCTCTCAGGAGATGATTGAAAAGAGTCAAATCTCAGGGCCCTTTGAAAGCCAGGCGAGCTTAGCCCCACTCATTGATGCCGCGAGCATCGTCACCCAACATGCCGCCGAAGCGGGGGTCGTTGCCAGTCAGCTGTGCAAAGAAGATGATGCTGCCGATGGTAAGGGCAATGACTACTGGAAAGTAGATTCCAGCTGGCAGCAGTTCTCCTTCTTCATCAGTCCTGATCCTGGTCTGAGGCTCAACAGACCACATGTTTCCACGTCTGTCCTGATCCACAGACTGTCCGACGCGGGCCTGACGGTTCATGAGACCCATGTCGGGCTTGGGCATCTTGAAATCGGTTTCCTTCTCGGTCTTCTCCTCAGTTTCAGTTCCGGGCTGTGGCAAGGCCCTCAATGCCTGGGTTCTCCTTGAAGTCGATGGTGATGAGACGAAGCTCTGCATCAGCGTCGATGCAAGCAAGGTGCATGCCCCGATCGCCAGCACATAGGCGAAGAGCCCGCGAGAGCGCCCACTTGCCATGACTTGTCCACACTTCAAGGCTAGTTTGAGCTGAGTATGCCCTAACAGTACATAGCATGGCAAGCTGAGTCTGTCATCTGTGAACACCATCACATTTAGGGGTAAAACAGACATGTCAAGTTCTTGACAATGCACGCAAATCGGCATACATGAAATTTGGTGACGACCAAGGTAAACCAAACAAAAGTTCCCTGGCTGGGGATCCCAAAAAACAGCAGGAAAAACAAGGTACGCAAGTGTCTGTCAAAAAGCATGCTGTCACACAAGTCAGCAACGACACAGAACAATACCCTTTTCCAAGATACTTCCAGTATCTTCCGGTGGATTCTAATTTCTGAACCCTGCCAAAACACTACACCATTTTTCGTGGCAGCCTGCAGTCGCGAAAATCTGAGTGTTTGTGGATAACACTCTCGGAAATCTGAATGTGGGAAAGTGACAGGGACAGTTAATGCAAAAGCAACGGCAACATGACTGTGACCACGAGGTACGCACGCTTTTAAACTCTTGTGTTCTGAATGTGTAAGTCTGTTGGCCACAATCCACCTCAAGACTTTGAAACATGACACTAAGACCAGTTTGGTCTGAAGATGGGCATTTGGCAAAGTTCAGTTCAACAAGCTTAGCCCCACTCATTGATGCCGCGAGCATCGTCACCCAACATGCCGCCGAAGCGGGGGTCGTTGCCAGTCAGCTGCGCAAAGAAGATGATGCTGCCGATGGTGAGGGCAATGACTACTGGAAAGTAGATTCCAGCTGGCAGCAGTTCTCCTTCTTCATCAGTCCTGATCCTGGTCTGAGGCTCAACAGACCACATGTTTCCACGTCTGTCCTGATCCACAGACTGTCCAACGCGGGCCTGACGGTTCATGAGACCCATGTCGGGCTTGGGCATCTTGAAATCGGTTTCCTTCTCGGTCTTCTCCTCAGTTTCAGTTCCGGGCTGTGGCAAGGCCCTCAATGCCTGGGTTCTCCTTGAAGTCGATGGTGATGAGACGAAGCTCTGCATCAGCGTCGATGCAAGCAAGGTGCATGCCCCGATCGCCAGCACATAGGCGAAGAGCCCGCGAGAGCGCCCACTTGCCATGACTTGTCCACACTTCAAGGCTAGTTTGAGCTGAGTATGCCCTAACAGTACATAGCATGGCAAGCTGAGTCTGTCATCTGTGAACACCATCACATTTAGGGGTAAAACAGACATGTCAAGTTCTTGACAATGCACGCAAATCGGCATACATGAAATTTGGTGACGACCAAGGTAAACCAAACAAAAGTTCCCTGGCTGGGGATCCCAAAAAACAGCAGGAAAAACAAGGTACGCAAGTGTCTGTCAAAAAGCATGCTGTCACACAAGTCAGCAACGACACAGAACAATACCCTTTTCCAAGATACTTCCAGTATCTTCCGGTGGATTCTAATTTCTGAACCCTGCCAAAACACTACACCATTTTTCGTGGCAGCCTGCAGTCGCGAAAATCTGAGTGTTTGTGGATAACACTCTCGGAAATCTGAATGTGGGAAAGTGACAGGGACAGTTAATGCAAAAGCAACGGCAACATGACTGTGACCACGAGGTACGCACGCTTTTAAACTCTTGTGTTCTGAATGTGTAAGTCTGTTGGCCACAATCCACCTCAAGACTTTGAAACATGACACTAAGACCAGTTTGGTCTGAAGATGGGCATTTGGCAAAGTTCAGTTCAACAAGCTTAGCCCCACTCATTGATGCCGCGAGCATCGTCACCCAACATGCCGCCGAAGCGAGGGTCGTTGCCAGTCAGCTGCGCAAAGAAGATGATGCTGCCGATGGTGAGGGCAATGACTACTGGAAAGTAGATTCCAGCTGGCAGCAGTTCTCCTTCTTCATCAGTCCTGATCCTGGTCTGAGGCTCAACAGACCACATGTTTCCACGTCTGTCCTGATCCACAGACTGTCCAACGCGGGCCTGACGGTTCATGAGACCCATGTCGGGCTTGGGCATCTTGAAATCGGTTTCCTTCTCGGTCTTCTCCTCAGTTTCAGTTCCGGGCTGTGGCAAGGCCCTCAATGCCTGGGTTCTCCTTGAAGTCGATGGTGATGAGACGAAGCTCTGCATCAGCGTCGATGCAAGCAAGGTGCATGCCCCGATCGCCAGCACATAGGCGAAGAGCCCGCGAGAGCGCCCACTCGCCATGTTTGACCGCTTGTCGATTTCAACTGAAATTGCTTCGCGCTCAGCAACCACATGTTTGCGGGAAAGTTTCTCAACAGTTTCTCAAGCCTCAAGAGTGATATAAAGCATGAAATTGACATCAGTGCAAGCATCTAGATGCGGACAGGCAATAGAAGATACACTAAAGTTCCCCACCAGAGCCATTGAAAATATTGTGGATGATCATGATCCCCAATAGATTCGGTAGTATAACTTCCTATATTTATAAACCTATCAACCAGTCTTTTTTCATGGCTCTCCCCGTCTTGTCAGATCATGCTTACGCCTTCTCAGACTGAGGTCAGCACAAGTAGTATGGCGTCCGGAATGGGATCAGTGGAATAACCTCAACGAAACAACAAAGACCTGTGCTTTGTTGGAACCCCAAAACCGGTGGCTTAAATGCAATTTAAGCAATATTGTTGACCCATCAAAATTGGCTAAAGTTGGCCAAATCCACCAGAAATGCTGCAGCATTCCCGCACTGGTCAAAGTTACCGAGGCGGAAACCAAAGGTGGTCGATGGCCCCTGGTAGGAATGACGACTAACCTTGGGTTCTTCGAGGTCGGTGACTTTTGTTGGCCAAGTTTTGGATATCTCCGGGGAAGCTAACGTAGCCTCACAATAGCTACGTTACATACACCGGAGAAAGTTAGAAAAGTGACATGTCACTATCTTACAGTAGTACGATTTGAATAGAGTAGACTCTTCTATGCTGTTTGGGAGTTGTAAGATGGAACGATTGTTCATAGCTAAATCAGCTGTAAATTTCCATCAATGGGCAATTAATTCCGTAGCTTTGTTAACTTACCAAACGGTACCAAGATGGATTGTAGCAACCCTGTAACTGGGGATCATCCCAAAATATCCCACATAAATCTGTTGGGAAACTGAATAGATCAGTCAAGGTTCACCCACCATTCCGGGTTGAAAAAGCCGGAAAACCAAGCCAAAACACCAAAAAGCATTGCTGCTGGCGGATTTTGTTCGGTGCCCGTTCTCTTGGCCATTTCCGGCTCGCCTCGGGTTTTCATGACCTGAGTTCCCGGACGCAGTGTTTTGTGACTCATTCACGGCTGTGAACCTGAGGCGATTGAATGCTGTCTGCCATATCTATGTCTGTTTGTATGTAGAATGCGTTACATGTGTACAATGTGTGTGTGTGCATCATTGTGCATCATTGTGCATCTATATATCATTCATTTGGATCATTGGATCATCATCCGTGGAAACATGCGGAAAGCAACGGGAAAACGAGTTTTTCAGAAACTTGGGGAAGTGAGAATCCGCCATGAACATGGGAAAACAGACCGTTGTTCCACGTTGTTCCTTCTCCTTCACGTTCCACTTCCCCACTCCGGTGCTTCAGGTGCTTCGAAGCTCTCGAAAGGCTTGGAATCTTCCATGGCTAACGTTTTTTTGGGGAAATCCGACAGGAAACATGGCTTTTCACCAGCCAAGTTTTGTCATACAACTTCCCCCGAAATCTATTCGCGTTTCTGTGCAAATGGGCTGCTCCCAATAATTAATTAATGGTTCTTCATCATTTGCGCCAGGGCCGAAAACAATGGTGATCCCGCCCACAATGGGAATCCCTAGAATCGGCATGTACATCCCCATGAATAAAAATGGATTGATTATACCCATCCCCCAGTATGGCTACGAGTCAAAACCTTTAAACCCTAGGTACCCTAAAATAGACGCTGAATGGATGTGTCTTCCCTCAAATTTATGGTACCTTAACAGTTTTGTCCCATCCCCGTATAGCATTTTTCATGGGAAACATGCGGTTTTAACATGTCTTAAACCATGAAAGTTCCCAAGAACATTGCAATGTTGATGTCAAATCCATCTTGGAATCTTGGACCATGTTCAACATGCCATCCTGAGTGCTGGACGCCAGGTATTCCGCATGAGGTCCCCAGCAGAGGGTCCAATCTAAACCTCACTGGAACTTGGAGGGCGAAAATCTTGAAGTTCATCAACATGTAGGCTAGCCATATCTTCAGATTTGACTTGACACAAACAACAGCAAATCATTGTCAGATTTTCTTGACAATAAACTGACTGTGGCTGTGTCAGGTGATGGGGCAAAAACACAACATCCACTTGCAGCTTGGAGATGGAACATCCAAGACGGCGAAAAAAACCACCTAAGAATCCCCAAGAAAATGGATCAAAAACACCTTCAATCCAAGGGGCAATGGTCAGCTTTTGGGAGTGGCCGCTCTGCACCTGCCGTGGTTTTTTAGTACGACTTGAGAGCTGGTGTTTTTTTTTGTGAATTGATGTGAAAAACTTGGACCATGCTTGGATTCAGGTCTGAAAAAAGTGACAACATTCACAATAACGTTTCTTTTTGTGCGAACAAACAATCAGATATTGAAATGACATGATACTACAATGTATTATATAATATACTTGAACAATTGCAACTTGCCCTTGGAAATGTCGCATTTCGACTCGACATGCTTCGACCAGCTGTGCCACTGCCAGCTGTGCCACCTCCACCAGCGGGTACTAAGCTGACTCCACCACTGCGCTTGCACACCTAGGCTGGTGGAGTACCATTATCAGATGAAATTTCGACATTTTAAGGGGAGTACCCCACGAAAAAACCATCTGGTTATGACTAACATAGCCATGGAAAAGCCTGAAATAAATATAATAAATGGAGGTTTCTAGCTGGGAAAATCATCTATTTCTATGGGCCATGGGCCATCTATATATACCATGGCTATGTTATGTTAGATAACCAGAGGGTAAATAGACCACGCTTTGTTAATCCAGGCTTGACATCAGGAAGTCAGAGGATACATCGAATCACAGGTGTGATGGCAAGCCTTTTCCCACGCTGATGCTACTGTGATGCTACATGGTGCATCGTCATCTTCCCGGAAAATCGTTCAAATCGACTGGAATCATGTTGTCTTCCCCATGAACAATTGCCATAACTTGGGGCTATTCAGGTGTCAACCTCCGAAGTTCCATGGGAATTCTGCATATCTGAGCCTCTCACAGCCACGCAATCATGAACGCCATTCCTGGCAACTTTCTGACTGGAACAACGAATTCCTGGAACGGTCCCCTTTCTTTAACTTATACACGCCTATGCGCATATAGACGCAAACATTGATAATATACAGATATATATATATACATATTTCATATTTCATATATTTGCACATCCATTTCATGATTACCTCATGTACAAATTATTATTCTGTTCATCAAATGTATGTGTATAATATATAATATGTGTACAGTAATGGGTGGGTATACCTTGAGTTGATTCATTAGTTTCACCCGCCAAATTGCACCCATCAATCGAACTTGCCATTGACGTCCAATCGATTTTTTTGGGGGGGGCTCTTAACAAAAACGCTTGGTCTGACTTGGATGATAACTGGGGGTGTATGTATATATATGTGTGTAGTTAAAAAAATAGTTATATTACATATAGTTATATATACTATAGTTTTAAATCTATATATATATATATTTATATAGTTAAAATATAGTTAAACATATAATTATAATATAGCTATAATATAGTTACATATATATATATATACCCCGATGACTTCGGAACCCCCCATAGATCCCTTGATTTTCCAACCGTCAAAAAGGAGACCTCCGATGTGCTTGGTGCAGTGCATAGGCCCAGCCAGGACCTCGAAGCCGTGGTCGGTGCCAGGTTTTGACTCATAGCATGTCATTTCTATGGAGAAACGAACTAGAACGAGTAGTGATGAAGAAAATGAGTATAATAATTATAGGGATATAATATGATATAACCAATTAACAATGGTTGTACGGTTTGTGGGTCTAAATGGTGGGTCTAAATGGTTCTTTAGCCCTACAGGGATATCCCCTTTTTTTGGGATATACTCGTGGCATATAAACAACTAAACATGGTTGTAATGGAATTTGTGATGGATCAGCTATATATAAAAATCCCATCCACCATTCATATGGTATCAAGCACCTTCATTTTATGGTCCCCAATCTGTTAAACTACGTATGTAAATCATTGTAAATCCCCTGTTAAACCCTGGTTTCTGTGGCCTGTTTGATATTAGGGGGAGTGGTGAATGTGGTCTTATTTCATGAGCCTTTCACGGAATATCATGGGCCTTTAGCTGGTATCATTGTCCAGTAATTGGTATATTGTTTGGATGAATTTCAATTGTAGTATACCGCTATGAAATCAGTATGATGCTGAATCATGGTTGCAATCGGATGTAATGGGTTTTGGTCTTTGGATGGGATATAAAGCAGAAACCCAATTATAATTGTAACAACCTCCACAAAGAGACAAATAGTTGAAAGAAACTACCAAGACAGTTGATGACAGTTGCAATGTACTTGTTCTATTATGTTCTATTTACTTGGCGGTTGCTATGCCATAATATATATATAATATTATACAGTATAAGTTATATATATAACTAATGAGGTGTTCAAGACATATCATGGGAAATGGCTCCGGTGGGGTTCATTATGATGGGGGCAACCTCAATTTTTTCGCCCACCAAGTGGTATTTCTTATTGTATTTGCATGGATATACTTGATACACCATTATATACCTCCATTTGGGGATTATGAATTATAGCTCCCAAGTATGGCAATATATGGCAATGGCTCAAGATGGCTCAAGTCGATTACCGATGGACCTACAACTTGTTGGTCATTCTCACGCAACATGTCCAATTCAAGGGCTTCAGCCCCCTTTTCGTGGGCGGGAAAATATGGTACCCCCCCCAAATGCCTACCTTTTTTGTAGGAAATATTTGCGGCGAATCTTTACATGAAAACAAAAAAAATCTGGTATGTTTTATAACTCCCAAATCGGATTCTTCGGGCTATTCTTCATGGTTTCCACAAGCTTTCCTGTGTCAAAAACCCTGTTCTGCGGTTCCAGCTGCCCAGAACGTCATCTGTCCTGGAACCCATGAACAAATCAACGTGCCATGTTGCTACAATTTGGTACATATTCAGATCACCCGAACTAGATACATCTAGATACCATCAATACTCGATTCAGTCCGCCAGTTTCGGATCCCCCAAAAATAGGTGTGCTTTGCCCGGCTGTTTTTGTTGGGTGAAATGCAGTAAAATTCAAAAAAGGATCCCCACAGGACGTCCTTATCCATGCTTTGGAGTGGGCGGGACACGCCAGAGTTGCTCGCTTCAGGACCTGTAGCTACGCCGTGAACCGTGGGGATAGGCTGTGTGGTTTAAGCATGGAAAGCTGGGAAAAACGGTGGTTTGACAATGGGAAATGGTGAAGCATGGTGGCTTATCCATGGAGGAGTTACATATTTTGGAGTTACATAGCCAATTTTCAGACACACCCGCCGCTTCATTGGTGAACCACATGTGTTATTGATTGCAGTTGTCGCTATAACCCACATCATCCCCATCAAAAAAACGATTTCAGCCGGCTAAACCCCATAATAAACAGAATAGATCACACCAAAATCCTATCTCACTATCACCACAATAGTTACAGTAGTATTCAGTGCTTTCTACATACATATAATCACATATAGGTGTATATATATATATCAAAATCCCGTAATAAACATCGTACAACACCATTGCTTTAGCTAACAATAAGTGTTTCCCATATATATCTCTCATATATCTATCAAGATCCCATAATAAACATATCTCTCTCCGTTGATATAGCAAGCACTAAGTGTATCCTATATACTATACACACCATATCTTATATATATATATGTTATATAACGTTATACCCGTCCCATTATCAACAGTATATCTCAGGTCATAGATTTAAAAAAAACCGGCGGATGCGAAACCGCGCGAGCGTTTTGAGGGTTTGCTGAATAGGACCGTCAGAATCACCTGTAATGTTCAATATAAAATGTGTTTCCGAACTCTTTTGATAACTCAATTTTGGTGAAAAAAAATGGCTTCAAAATCTATTCAATTTTGACAAATCCTTGAAAATACATGTAAATACCATGTGCATCAGACGTGGATTCGACGAGTTTTTTTAACACCCATCGTCGGCTCAGCGATCCATCAGTTTGGAAGCTGTCTTCGACAGCAAGTTGCCATTATGGCACTCATAACGCCATTGCCAGTAATGCAGGTACAGCATGACATCTTTGTTCTGCCCTGCTTTTGTCTGCAAATTACTAGGCACAATTTTTTAAGCCAAATTCCACAGAGAGTCAATCTTCCCTGTGTGCAGTGCGTAACATCCAGAGCGTGTTAGAAGTCAAGTGGAAACAGTGCAGAGCGTAACATCCAGAGCGTGTTAGAAGTCAAGTGGAAACAGTGCAGAGCGTAACATCCAGAGCGTGTTAGAAGAAAAGTGGGAAAAGTGCAGAGCGTGACATGCAGAGCGTGTTAGAAGTCACATGGAAACAGTGCAGAGCGTGACATGCAGAGCGTGTTAGAAGTCACATGGAAACAGTGCAGAGCGTGACATGCAGAGCGTGTTAGAAGTGGCAGGCAAAAGACAGAGCGTAACATCCAGAGCGTGCTACGCAAGTGATGTTGGGCAAGAGCGTGTTCCACGCACTCTGCACATGACGTTAATACCCCACCCCACCCCCCCCACCCCACCCCAACCCAGAGACAAAGAGCAATCATCAAAAAAGTAGCAAAACGCACGTACGGTTTTGCAGCCGTAGGCATAAACATGATATAATCCCTCTGGATCACTCTGGTAATTTCTTACATAGCTATTGAAAATGGCCCAATTGAAATAGTGGATTTACCCAGCTAGAACATGGAGGATCTTTCCATAGTTTTTTGATATACCATACCTTAATAAACCATCAAAAATCCCATTGAATCACCATTGAATCACCATTAAATCACCATTAAATCACCATTAGGCAACATTAAATCCCATTGAAATAGTGGATTTACCAGGCCGGGTAACTGGTGATGGTGAATCCCGGACCTCAACGCTGAGGTCGAGCTGTTGAAAGAAGCGACGCCCCGTTTGACCCAGTCGGGTGAGGTCCTAACGACTTCGAGCACGGCCGTGCTTGGAGAATCCACAAGAAATGGGACGTTCACCGTGAAAACTGGTGGTTGATCCATCAAAAATGATGAAAACTGGTGATTTACCATGAAAAATCATGGTCGATCTATCAAAAATGGTGGTTACAATGCTGGTTTTTCCCATGAAACCATTGTCGTTCAAACATGAAAAATATGGTGAAATGGTGGGTTATCCAGGTCCATCACTTAAATGATGAGAAATGGGAATGTCACCCTTTAACGGTTTAACAATGAAGAATGATGGTCAACCATTCTTCCAATCTTTGGGAAAATTCAGAGGAATTCACCATCCAAAATGGCGACTCTGGTAGACTAACAGTTTGCGAACTTGAAAATGGTCATTTAGTTCGTTGATTTACCCAGTAAAAATGGCGATTTTCCGTAGTTATGTTAGTTTGCCAGAGGGTATTCACTTTAGCACCCCAACTAACCATGGCCAATCTGAGGTCCCCATGAAAAAACAACCAGACACCAAGGTCCTCCCCGTCACAGCATCTGGCCACCAGCTGTAGGAGGTCCATCGTGACCTGCCAAGTGACTTTTTGCAGCAGCAAGAAAATACAGTTCACCGTAGTTCACCTGGTTCCTTTAAATTGACTCATCGAGGTGGTTAAGTGATGTTAAGTGATGTTAAGTGATGTTAAGTGACCTTTTGGGCTTAAGTAACCTCGAATTGGTGGTTGAAACGGTTGAAGAACCAGATAGGTACAGGCATTTGCCCACCCAAAAATCGCCATTTATCCACCAACAGAATGAGAGTCACCCAGCAAACATAATGAGTCTACCCAACAGAAATGGCGATCTAGCAATGAAACATGCTGATTTACCCACCAAATAATTGAGATTCCCCCACCGAAAACTGCGATTTACCCAGCCGAAAATTGATATTTACACACCAAACATGTGGGTTTATATCATAGGGATCTAAACAAAGCTGATTTATCGACGCAAAAATATATCGGATAAATCGAACATGGGGATCTTAGTGACTTAGCAAGACACAATTAGGAGATTAAACTGATTAAACCAACATAGCTACAGTAGATGGCTGAAAAGTTCATTGAGTGATTCCCATCTTCCTCCAGGATAGCAGGAAAATGATCCAAAAAAGTTGACCGCCAGGTGGACACCATCTTTTAAGTCCCTCAATTCTTCAGTAAAAACACGGAGAAAAAACCATACTTCAACTCATTCAAATCATGAAAACGCTGAAGCCACACTTCACATCTTTCACTACCAGGGACATCAAGTGAGGCAACTTCTTTCTTGGCGAAGTGGTCATTCGATACAGAAGCACAATCTTTCTCGATCGTTTTTCCGAAGTTGTACCGCAAATTGGTTCCCAAAAAATCGAAAATTCACATCACAATTTGGGTCGCTTAGCCATGCTTAGCCATGCTTACCCCGTGCACCAAACGTACGTTTCCCCCAGTCAAACTGTACCTCCAAACTGCTTGCGGGCGCGCTTGCGGGAGCCAACGGGACCAACGCCCTGGGTCAAGGTGTAAAAGGTCATGAGGGCAGGTTCCAGGGCTGGTTTCTGGGGCCTTGTGGAAACACAAACCATCAAAAAGGATGGTTTGTACATCACAAATGGTGGTTTAAGCATCAAAAACTGTGGTTTAAGCATCACAAATGGTGGTTTAAGCATCAAAAACTGCGGTTCAAGCATCACAAATGGTGGTTTAAGCATCAAAAACTGTGGTTTAAGCATCACAAATGGTGGTTTAAGCATCAAAAACTGCGGTTCAAGCATCACAAATGCTGGTTTAAGCATCAAAAACTGCGGTTCAAGCATCACAAATGGTGGTTTAAGCATCAAAAACTGTGGTTTAAGCATCACAAATGGTGGTTTAAGCATCAAAAACTGCGGTTCAAGCATCACAAATGGTGGTTTAAGCATCAAAAATTGTGGTTTAAGCATCACAAATGGTGGTTTAAGCATCAAAAATTGTGGTTTAAGCATCACAAATGCTGGTTTAAGCATCAAAATGGTGGTTTAAGCATCAAAAACTGTGGTTTAAGCATCACAAATGGTGGTTTAAGCATCAAAAATGGTGGTTTAAGCATCAAAAACTGTGGTTTAAGCATCACAAATGGTGGTTTAAGCATCAAAAAAATGTGGTTTAAGCATCACAAATGGTGGTTTAAGCATCAAAAACTGTGGTTTAAGCATTACAAATGGTGGTTTAAGCATCAAAAAAATGTGGTTTAAGCATCAAACATTGTGGTTTTAGCATCAAACATTGTGGTTTAAGCATCAAAAATGGTGGTTTAAGCATCAAACATTGTGGTTTAAGCATCACAAATGGTGGTTTAAGCATCAAAAATGGTGGATTCAGCATCAAAAATGGTGGTTTAAGCATCACAAATGGTGGTTTAAGCATCACAAATGGTGGTTTAAGCATCACAAATGGTGGTTTGAGCATCACAAATGGTGGTTTAAGCATCACAAATGGTGGTTTAAGCATCACAAATGGTGGTTTAAGCATCAAAAATGGTGGTTTAAGCATCCAAAATTGTGGTTTAAGCATCAAAAATGCTGGTTTCAGCATCAAAAATGGTGGTTTAAGCATCAAAAATGGTGGTTTAAGCATCACAAATGGTGGTTTGTTTAAGCATCAAAAATGGTGGTTTAAACATCAAAAATTGTGGTTTAAGCATCACAAATTGTGGTTTAAGCATCAAAAATTGTGGTTTAAGCATCAAAAATGGTCGATTAAGCATCACAAATGGCGGTTTAAGCATCACAAATGGTTGTTTAAGCATCACAAATGGTGGTTTAAGCATCACAAATGTACGGTAACTACATTTAAATATACGGATTTTTAAATATACGAATAGGTATTTTAGACTACCTCCGGGAAGGTTTTCCTTGGCCCGCCCAGCCATTTAAACATACGGAAACCAATTCATTTAAACATACCGTAACTACATTTAAATATACGCACTGGTATTTCATACTACCTCCGGGGCCTCGCGGTTTGGCCTGCCCTCCACATATTTAAATGTCGTTACCGTAGTTTAAGCATCAAAAATTGTGGATTAAGCATCACAAATGGCGGTTTAAGCATCAAAAATGGTGGATTAAGCATCACAAATGGTGGTGTAAGCATCTAAAATGGTGGCTTAAGCATCACAAATGGTTGTTTAAGCATCAAAAATGATGGCTTAAGCATCACAAATGATGGTTTAAGCATCAAAAATTGTCGTTCAAGCATCACAAATGGTGGTTTAAGCATCACAAATGGTGGATTAAGCATCACAAATTGTGGTTTAAGCATCAAAAATGGTGGTTTAAGCATCACAAATGGTGGTTTAAGCATCACAAATGGTGGTTTAAGCATCACAAATGGTGGTTTAAGCATCACAAATGGTGGTTTAAGCATCAGAAATGGCGGTTTAAGCATCACAAATGGTGGTTTAAGCATCACAAATGGTGGTTTAAGCATCAAAAATGCTGGTTTAAGCATCAAAATGAAAATGGTGGTTTAAGCATCACAAATGGTGGTTTAAGCATCAAAAATGGTGGTTTAAGCATCACAAATGGTGGTTTAAGCATCACAAATGGTGGTTTTAGCATCAAAAATGGTGGTTTAAGCATCAAAAATGCTGGTTTCAGCATCAAAAATGGTGGTTTAAGCATCACAAATGGTGGTTTAAGCATCAAAAATGGTGGTTTAAGCATCACAAATGGTGGTTTAAGCATCACAAAAGGTGGTTTAAGCATCGAAAATGGTGGTTCAACCATCAACAATTGTGTTTTAACGATCAAAAATGATGGTTCAAACATCAAAAATTGTAGTTTAACCATCAAAAAAGTTGGCTTAAACATCAAACATGCTGGTTTAACCATCAAAAATTATGGTTTAACCATTAAAAAAAGTGGTTTACCAATCAACAAGTGTGGTATAATCATCAAAAATGGTGGTTTAACCATCCAAAACATGGTTTAACAATTAAAAAGGTGGTGTACCAACCAACAAGTATGGTTTAATCAAAAATGGTGGTTTAACCATCTTAACAATAAAACATGTTATTTAACCATCAACAAGTATGGTTTAACTATCAAAAACGATAGTTTAACCATCAAAGAATCTGGTTTAACCATCAAAAATTAACCATCAACAAGTGTGGTTTAACCACCAAAAACGATGGTTTAACCGACAAAAATTCTGGTTTAACCATCAAAATGATGGTTTAACAATCAAGAATGATATGATGGTTTAAGCATCGAAAATGGTGGTTTAACTATCAAAAGTTGTGTTTTAACAATGAGCAAGTCTGGTTTAAACATCACAAATGGTTGTTTAACCATCAACCAGTGTGGTTTAATCATCAAATTTGTGGTTTCACCATCAAAAATAATGGTTTAACCATTAAATTCGTGGTTTAAGCGTGAAAATATGTGGTTTCACCAAGATAAAATAACTGAATTTGGGACTGAATCATCAAGCATGGCTGGCTAAATAACAAAAATTGGGTATCAAGAAAAAACTTGTTCGGTTGGGCCATATCCAAAATTTTGACTGTGGGATTCGATTTCTTGGGGTTTCGTGTTTGACTTAAGGGACCGGAATAATGGGCGATCTGCAACTGACTTAAGATACTATACATTCGTCAGCTTGCCTTTTCCGAATGACGTTCTGCGTTTTCCAAATGTGGTTCAGCTTTAGACGACTCTCATCTACCCTCTGGTAAACTAACATAGCTATTGAAACTGGCCATTTATAGTGGATTTACCTATTAAAAATTGTGATTTTCCATAGTTATGTTAGTTTACCAGAGGGTAAGCCTTCAATTTTCGTCAAAATCCCAGATTTTCATCTGGCCTGGGGACGCGTGGCTCCGCCGCTGCCAGAATCTTTTGCACCTGAACGATTTCGGGGGTGTCCATCCCGCTGTTGGGCGCATGGAAAGTGTCCACTTCTGGGTTGGCCACATGAAATCATGAACCGGGAGTCGGACGGAAATCTGATCAACGGTGACTGTTTTCCCCATTTTTTTCACATGATCAAAACCTATCAAAACCTGAGTTCCGCCTGTCAGTGAAGCCCCCAGCTCCCAACTGAGCACGGAACATCAGCTTCGACCTCAGGTCACCGCAAGGTAACGATGATCGTTACTACTGGTGCAATTGTTGTGCGTCAATATGCAGTCTATATATATATAGATTATATATGTGTATGTGTGTGTGTGTTACATTGTATGCTACTATGATTGTTGATGATGATGATGATGATGATGTGGCGATAAAGCCCCAGATGACCCAACATATCACCTGACAATTTGATAAAAAGAGCAACTGGCTACAAACACAACATCAAAAAGTCACAAAAGGTCGACAAGAACCATCATTTACCAACAAATACACCTTGGTTACCATAAAATCCGTAAAAACAGCTGCAATTTCTAGCTGCACTGCCCTGCCCCCAATGCCCCCGCATCTTTTTTGTGCCAAAATCTGTTGATCACCCGAGCATTCGCAGCAAATGTGGCAAGACTGGCAGTAAAACGGACAGACATT